TAGAAAAAATATGGTTCGAGTCCCGTCTGCTGCCTGATCCGCGTGGATTTTTTTCTAGTTATATTGTCTTTAGATTTAAACATTGAGCAGTTACATGCTTTAAAATAAATGTAAGTATATTTACGTTTATAAAAGAGCTTACAATATCAAATTGTAACATAATCATTGATTTTGGTCTTCATCTGCAGGTGCGACTAAGGACGTCGACTCGAATCTTATAACTAGTATGGTAAGCAAATTGCACTGGATTAGTATAGGTATGAGTAATATGTGTTCACTGAGCGCGGTAAAAACAACTATGTTTAATTTTATAATTGTCATTTCTTAGCCGTTTCAGTAAAGCTTTCAAATAATTAATTTGAAACACTTAACAACGTAGAAGCTGAAACGTTGAAACGGCGACGGGAAACCGAACCATATCAATTACGTAACAAAATGATGGATTGCAATTAATTAAAGCGAGGCAAGCTTAATCCGAGCAAGCGCTTGGCAACCCTTAATCCAGATAGCACGTGCCGTAAGGTGCGAGGGGAGGGTGATGGCGGGGGGGGGGGGGGGGGGGGGGGGCAACCGCCTCACACCGTAATACCATTCCGAGATGAACGACTTAAACGCGTTACCGATAACCACCAGAACTTGACACCGTACACCTCACGCTGTTCTAGCAACTTCACCTACAAAAGTGGAATCCTCATCCGTCCGCGCGGGCCAACGTGAAATGGATGTCGATCGTTCGATTCACTATTTTGGTGGTTTAGCCAACGAACTGAAGTGGATTTTGACAATGCTTGTTAACTAATGGAGGCCAGGCTTCGATCGACGGCCGACAAATTTGATATTCCCTTAATGTCCGTTATGTCGAATGAGGTTAACCGACGGCAGACGGCACCGATGTGTGTAGAAACGTTTTTGCTTGATTGCTTTCTGAACGAGTTTAATTTTCTTTGAGCGACTGTCCAGACTGTTTGATGTGATGTGTACCTACCTACAGGCATCTGGAATCGTCTCTCAGAATACAGTTGATTTGATATTTTTGAACCGAAATAACAAATGAATTTACTTCTACATAAACCTTCATAACCGAAGAACATAGTGCAATAACAATACTTTTTATTTAAATTTTAAAAAAATATAACTACAAAAAATTCCACGCGGACCAGGCAGCAGACGGGACTCGAACCCGCACCCTTCGCTATCCGGGCGAATGCACTGACCAATTATGCTACCACGGCCCTTATGACCGCGTCGAAATTCCTCTAGTCATACTTAAGCTGCAAGGCAGCGCATTCTCTTCTGTAGGTAACCAACAATGTCAAATGAATACTTTTACAAGTATTAAACATTTGAAAGAAGAAATAGCAATTATAGCTATAATTTTTGTGTTGTGTTTTTCTCTATAACTAAGGTTCCAAGGCTCTATCACAACCATCTAAAGGCTTTGACCATTACGCGGAGTTTATATTTACTAACCACCCTTTTTACATTAAAAAATGGTAGGTACTTTGGAAGAAAAATAATATTTTAAGATTTAAATGCGCCATTTGTTGATTTTTGAAATTAAGTAACAATAAATTTGTCGCTTATTATAATAATATATATACCGCACTCCAAGCTTGCAATGGGAAAACATACAGCAACAGTAAGGCAATAGTCGCCACAGCATTCACAGCATCAAACACTAAAACCGATTTCAAATCGACATACGACTCTTAAAAGCAATTCGCTCGCACGACGTGCGCCACTAAATTGCTACACACAGTGGCTCACTCGCGCTCCCGCGGCGGAATTGCGCAATTTTTATTTGAGCATAAATAAAACACGGGCGGTTGCGCCAAGCAATTTGCCTAAAACCGGGCGGCGATGACTCCGGCCCGGGTGCGGCCCGTATATCCGGTTATCCGAGTACGTGAACAGCCGCCACGCTGAATACTAATGTTATTTATAGCGGCACTCCTTTATGTCGGGATGTAGTACTTTCGAATTTATCGTGTAATTCAGAATTTGAGACGTGAGCTAACTTTGATATGTTTACCTAAGTTATTTATTGGGAGGTGCCAAGCGCACTAGGAGTCACTTCTGTGGATACAATTTGCCAAAAGACAGCGTCTTATATAAAGCAATAAACTATGTTCAGTATTCATTATATGTCACAGAGTATCCACTGTGATACCAGTAGTTCCTAAACTTTACGTGATGATGGGATAATTTATCAAAATTTCTGTCTACGGACCACGATTTGCACCACCTTAAGTAGAATTAGTAAATCAAATTAATATATAGGACATATTCGAATGACTGTGAATGGCTTCTACCTCCGTTTAGAGGTAGTATACTCGTACTTCGAGGACCACTACGGGTGCTTCCAGGGAACACCGCATAAGGAAAAGGGGAACCACAATCCAGTAAAACTGAAGAAAATTTTAACTTAAATCACAAGTCTTTACTGTAAGAGGTACACAAAGGAAAAGATAAGGTAAAGAAAGAATACGTAGAAATGAAAGTAAAAAATATCTGCTTAAACAAGCTTTAGAAATCCTTTCGACACAGCCGAAGCCCACGCATTGTATACATCAAAATCAGCAACTCGATAAAAACTTACTGCTGGGAAACGATTTTAATTTTTTGATGTTTAAAATAAAATAGTCTTAAAGGCAGAATAGATCCTGATGAAGGGTAGAACACGGGGTTTTTGACTATGAAGAAGGTATTTTTATATCCGTTATGTATAACCTACACGAAAGTTTAGTAAATTCAATCGATAAGCATTATAGCTTTCAGATTCATGCGAATTATCTGATTAGCGAAGCCACATAACCAATCAGGCAAGCTATGATTATTGAATGAATGATTTATATGAATGACACAATCAATTAAAATACGATAAGATACAGTGTTACCTGAGTCTCAGCCATGGCAATCTACTTCTTTAAGTTTTTAATACAAAGCAACTCCTTTTCAAATTACGATAAAAGATGCCTGTACTCTGGTTATATGAATGACACAATCAATTAAAATACGATAAGTTACAGTGTTACCTGAGTCTCAGCCTTTACAATCTGCTTCTTTAAGTTTTTAATACAGAGCAACTCCTTTTCAAATTACGATAAAAGATGTCTGTACTCTGGTTATGAAATATCAGCAAATTACGCAACCACGGCGCTCAAATTTATACTCTTACACAATTGTGTTGTGTGAAGCATGAGCTTTACTTAGTTTTTTTATATTATAGACATACGAGCTGACGGCTCACCTGATGGGAAGTGATCACTGTCGCCCATAGACACCTGCAACTCCAGAAGTATAAAAAAATGCGATGCCGGCCTAAAGGAAGGAGTATGCTCTTTTCTGAAGGTTTTCGGGTCGTATTGGTCCGGAAAAACTGCTGGTGACAATGCCACAGTTTCGTCGAACGTGGTGAAAATTTTCGTAATGATTTTAATTTAATGCAACTAAACCGTAGTTTCTTCCATAAGATTTCCATAATTTGTATTATTAGTCCGCGGGGTAGAGAATTGGTTTTAGACCGGCGAGGTGAAGATGGCTGAAGCGGCACACTTTGTGCCGTATCATCTATCTTCGAGACTGGACTCCACTTACACTTAACATCAAATGGGATCAGGTAATTTTTTTGGCGTGTAGTATAAAAATAATAATAAATTATATCCTCTTCATATATAAAAAAAAATATCATAATATTAGAAAAGTCAATTTACATACTCATAGAATACGGTAACCACCTCCTCGCCCCGCCCGCCTTCTCACCCCCGCTAGCCAGAAAAACATCGTAAACCACATTTTTATAGCGCATGACGTCAAATGTTCGCGACAACATTAAAGTTGCACGAAACAACTGACTTTTATTGCGAAATTTTGATATAATGAGCCATAATTTCTGGTAATATGAGATTTTGCAACGGGCTTATATAAGTTACTTTGTAAGCGCCTTCTAAAGTAATTTTGTACTTCGTTCGCTATTTTTCTTATTATGCTTATGTAAGCATTTGTTACTTTTCTTGGTACTGGTATTTATATCATATTTTGGTCCTACGTAAAATACTACTTAAACTGTAAAGCAATTTCCTATTTCTCAAAATTGGAACCTTGTTTGGAAGCTTTCTTTGGTAAGGGTTGTCAGATTTAAATAAATCATCAGACAACATTAATTTTGATTCTTGGGTCTTTGTACCAGATTTTGATTTTTTATACCTAATTAATGTAAGAAACAATCTTTTTATTTAAAAAGGTTTGCTTTTGTAGCTAACAGGAAGAATTATAAATTTCATAGATAATGGATAACTTTTTCTTCGAATTGTATATAACAAGAAAAAACTATAGGTACCATTTTCTTTGTTAATTAATTAAGAGAGAAAGTACTAACATTTTTCAATTTCAATGTTTTAAGTATATTTGTAGCTAACTGAAAATATACTTTTTTCCTTGCTGGTTTTTACAGCCATTTTTACAGAGTACAAGTGGCAGACGAGCATATTTCCTGAGGTATGACAGATTTAGCAATCATCAAAATCGGCCCACGCACCACTAAGATATGTACGAATTATTTATTTATACTTTATTGCACAAATGAGTGTACAAGTGGCGGACTTATCGGCCATTCTTAGGCATTCTATACCAGTCTACCGGAGCATTATAGTAAAGATCTTGAGAAAATCGAGAAGATCTTATTAAAATAATTAAAGTGTAACTATAGAAACGAGCTAATAAATATTTATGTTGACGAATTGAGAATTTCTTCCTGTTTGAAATCGGTTTAAAAATATTGCAATATATTTAAATAAGCTTAAGATAATATAATAAACATAGCATTGCTGGTATGAATGTATAAATCGCATCTAACGTACTCTGACCACGTAGAAAATGTACTGTTATTTTACTGTGGTCTTCTGTAACGTGAAGTTTCATTCTCTAGAAAGGCAGTCCAATTAAATTTTGTTATTTATCATAAAATGTTGATCATAGTTTGTAAAATACGTGTCACTTACTTGTACCCTCGCTTCAGTCAGATTGATCTTCAATGCTAAGTCCTCGCGAGTGAAGACGTCGGGGTAGTGTGTCTGCGCAAACGCCGTCTCCAACTCTTCCAACTAAAGAAAAAACGCTGAGTTAATAAATTGTAGAAGTATTTAAAGGATAACTTTGTAATAACTAAACACTACTCGAAATGCTGTAGCCGTAGCATGAGCACGATATGATATCATAGCACGTACCTATCTATCACGTACTGACAATTGAATTTCAACAATTGAACATAATGAAAAGCTGATAATATATTTGAAATCGCGATGTTCATGCTTATAGAACAGGAACTCTAAATCTTCATTTAAACGCGCGGCTCGCAGTCGACGTTAAAGACATTATGTTGATTATACACAGACTTTTCTTTCTTTCTTTAAAATCAAATTGCAATTTAAGACAGTCCTCTGTGCTTGTTATTACCTTGATTTTTTTATGTCGCCTGCGTTTCGGAGGTGATAATAGTTAGAGATCCAATCACCGATATCAGAGTTATATATAGAGAACAATATAGGGCCAAGATGTGAGCCTTGCGGAACTCCAGAAGCAATATGAAGATATGTGGGAAAGTATTCTTTCAAACGCATAGCTTGACTACAGTTTGGTATATAAAAATTAAACCATCTAAATGAGTATCCATGCACACCTAATTTCCAAAACGAATACAGTAAGATAGGTGAAAAGCAAAAATATTTTGCAGTAGCTTACCAAAGAACTTATAATTTTGAAATATGGCAATATAGTGTAATATTATGCCTTGGTTTATTTTTAGGTATTGGAAAAATAAGCGCCTTTTCCCTTAAATTCGGAAAAACACACGAGCTGAGGCACTCTTGGCAGATGATGCAAATATGGGTGTGTGCCATCAGAACCAGTGCTTTTGTGTACGTCCCAGATCAATTAAAGTATTATCAATTGCTGTATTATATATGTTATTCAGATCATCAGTTTGTTGATTAGACGAAAATGGATAGGAAATAATCATTAAATGCATCACAGATTATTTCACTTCCTTTAGAAATAATATTATTGTTATTAATAAATTGTAATGTGAGCTGATCGATTTTTTTATTTTACGTACGTCCTAGTTATTAGAGTTTTGTTTTCTTTATTTTATTTTCTAAGAGAAAGAGAATACCAAAGGGAAACTTTTCGATATCAATTTGATTGCACAATGGAACGTCAATATTTGATAAAAAGCTGATAAATTAGAATCAACAGCATTGCACCTAAGAAGACAACATTCCAGTTCACCAAATGCAATTCATTTTTAATGGAATTGTAGCCCGCTTAGCTTCTATGTTTAATATGTTTTTTTAATAATGCTAGCAATTCTATTGAAAGATCATCAGATATAGTCATTGCGAAAGCTGTGTTACAGTAAGACTATGTAATAAAGTTAAAGATCGCTACTTACTTGTTGTAAAGTAAACGTGGTACGATTCCTCCTCTGTTTGCGACGGACGAACGTGTCATCGTGTATCGCCGGGTGATAAGAATAACTTGTGTCTGCAACAAATAAATAAATAAATATAAATAAATAAATATTTCCAACACTCACACCAATTAGCCCCAAAGTAAGCAAAGTAAGGCTTTTGTTATGGGATACTAGGGTAACGGACAGAATACATATACTGTACATGTATAAGTATATTTATATAGAATCACATATTAAACATCCATGACCGGAGTACAAATGCTCGTATTCATCACACAAACATCTGCCGCCACCGGGATGCGAACCCGGGATCTCTCGAGTCAGACACCATGAAACAAATCACTTGACCACGGAGGTCGTCAAACACAGCATTAAGATTTTTTTGTTGTCGCACTATCCATAAATGGAATACAATGCCTGCTCACGTGTTCCCTCCTTCTTACAACCTGGGATTCTTTAAAAGAGGCGTAAAGAAGCAACATGCGGGCCGGCAAAATGAGGATGGCTTGAGTGGCAGGTAGAACTGCTGTACCAGCTATCTTCACAACTGGTCTTCACCGTCACTTAACATCAGGTGGGGTGAAGTCATTTGTCGGACCTTTCTATAAAAAAATGGTACACGTCGCTTACAAGATCATCCAACAAGTAAATTTTGGATTTAAAAGAATCTATTCAACCAACCTGAAAATTTCCATGAAATTAATTACCACATTTTTCTGAATTACGGCTGCACTTACATGGTTAAATGTTCCTTTTTTGTTAAAATCATAGAACCACGCGGCTGACGCGGCCAGGAGAGGAGTCGGCATTCACAGCGTTCCCTTCTGTCGATTTTCCTCCGTTGATGGGTCAGCTCACGAACAAAACTAAGTTGCACTCGGATATTTCACTAGACTGAGTCAAGTCGCGCAAGTGTATTTTACATATCAAAAATGCCAAAATTTTATGTAATTTGCTATAAAACATATATGGAATATTAAACTTACAAAAAGATGATGTTAAAATTCACATATAAGGAGAATTATTAATCAACAATCCACCTATCAATTGGGCAGCTACCAGCCTAGTAGGAATAACAAATGGTGCAATCATTAACATGTTATTTATATTTAACCACTTTTAAACCCAAAAGTCATAGTATTTTGTTAAAATTCAAGCTTAGGACTTGTTTGACAAAACAATCGACTATAATAAAAAATAAAATTCAGATCTGTCGATAAAAACCTTAATTTCATCTTCATTTCATTTCTCAGACTACCTAGACAAGCCCTGAAACAAATCGTGGGTATACTCACGGGTCACGGCTACTTTAACAAACACCTTTGTAATATAGGTATTTCTGACAGCCCTCTGTGCAGAGCCTGCCTGGAGGCGGATGAGACGAGCGCCCATGTCCTACTGGAGTGCAGGGGCGTTGCAAGACAAAGGACTTCTCTAATGGGAAGCCCGAAGACAATAGTAGAGGCCTGCAGCAACATTCGGGGACTGCTGAGCTTTCTGGAGGAGCTGGGATGGCAGGACTGATGCCAATCCCCACGCAAAATAGGCACTAGGTGTCGAGTTGCGGAAACAGCTCGCCGTACTACTAAGACTAAGACTAAACATGTTATTTATATTTAACCACTTTTAAACCCAAAAGTCCTAGTATTTTGTTAAAATTCAAGCTTAGGACTTGTTTGACAAAACAATCGACTATAATAAAAAATAAAATTCAGATCTGTCGATAAAAACCTTAATTTCATCTATGCCCGATTTAGAACTGTCATTTTTTATGTGTGAGTGTCGTAATTACAATTTCGTTATCGCGAAAGTATGTTGGACTGCATTTGTTTGCGTGTATATTTCTCCCCCCGCAAAAAGCGGCAGAATGATTTCAGTGGTATTATGTCATTATGGCTACTGCCCTCCTAGCCGCGTCGGCTGTGTTTCTCTATGGTTAAAATACTCTAAAAACCCAAAATTTGACACATTCTACTATAATATATTTGACGTGACATTGACTAATTGTCAAATTTAAGTATGTATCAAACTCGTATCAAACAACAGAGCCTGAGGCCGCGTCGTGTCATCCGTAGTTAAATATGACTTTAGTTAATGTAAACGTTGTCGTGTAAGAATACCACTTATGATCACGCGTAATGACCATTAGATCTCCCCTAAATGTAACAAACCAAAAAAAACGCATCTTAAAAAAAACCAGCGGAATTCGGAACAATAGAAAATAAAAGCCGTTAATCCATGGCCACCATAGACCATAGAGCACCAAAGAGCAGGATAGCGGAAGACCGGCCCATTGCGCGCCAAACGCCACCCCATAGTTATTATGGCCATCGGAACGACTATGGGAATTGATGAGGTGGATCTACTTGTCAGCTATGGTGACTAACTTTTGGGAAAAAATAACAAGGATAAAAATAAAAAAATAAATTCTAACATACACATCAATCAGCCTAGCTCCAAAGTAAGCACTGTAAGGGTTGTGTTATGGGAAACTAGGGTAACGGATAGAATACATATACTCATACATATATAAGTATATTTTTATTAATAAAATACATATAAACATCTTGATGTCACTTGGGTACAAATACTCGTATTCATTAGACAAATATTTGCCTCACCGGGATTCGAATCCAGGAACTCTGAGTAAGCGACGCCTTGAAAACCGGCGTACATACCATTTGAGCCACGGAGATCGTCCGCTTCCATGGTGGATATTCCGTGCAGAGTCTGTCATTTGTTAATACCTACAGATATATTACGATATCTACTTATTCGTTAGTTCAAAAAGTTACTTAATTTGACTAGTTTTTTAAATTTACGTATTCACGTTATTACGTCAATATTTTGAAAGATAAAAAACAATCATAAATGAATCAACCACAACACTTCTAAATTTAACACACGATCATCATAATGTATATATTTTTAGCGCGTTGCCTATAGAGCTACGAAATTAGTGCTATAAAAATCGTAGCGTTACGTAGCATTCGTAGATAAATTCTTTTTTAGCTTTTCATATATTTTAATATAGTAGCTGTGCCACGCGGTGTTACCCGCTGTTTGTTAGGGATATTTTCCCGCAGTAAAACGTAGCCTATGTGTTAATCCAGAGTGTCAGCTAACTCTATACTAAATCATCACTCCAGCCGTTTAGACGTGAAGAAGTAACAAACTTACACACTCACAAACTTTCGCCTTTATAATATTAGTGTGATAATATTCTATTCGTTACCCTAGTATTTCATAACACAAGTCTTACAGTGCTTACTTTGGAGCTAAGCCGGCAGAAGTAAAAACTTGAATATTAAGGTTGTGCATTTTTGATATTTTGGAATGGTTAGGAATTAATTTTGCACGAATTGATTTAATTATCAGTATAAAAGTACTATCATTTATGTGATAGAATACAATATTTATTTATTGCGCTATCGTACACAAACACGACAATTTATATTACATTAAAAAGTTTATCTGTCAGGAAAATCAACTTACATGAATCACGTTTAAGCGCACTTAGCGACATCTATTGTAAAAAAATCAACTTACATGAATCACATTTAAGCGCACCTAGCGACATCTATTGTAAAAAAAATGCATTTTCTTCGCAGTAAAGCTGCCACCTGGACGTCC